ATGTGTGTATGTATATTTATATCTATATCTATATCTATACACACTCACACACATAAAGTCAATGGTAGAACGTTTTGCAATTGTAAGGCCGCCGATTCACCTGTCCAGCCCCTTTCAGTCGACTCAGCTGTGACTGAGTACCGGCATCAGTATGTTGGGGTCAAAGTATTACCCCGCTGCTTTTAGAATGCATATTATCTGCGTTATATGAAGGTTGTACTAGTTTTGGCATCGTCCTTTAGGGTAACAGGGATAATAGTTAACAACGATAATAAAAGCAAAATTTTATCTATTATAATCAGTACAATTCAGGTTTGATATATATTCTAACAACTTCAACGACAGGAGCAACAATAAATATTTTATGCAACAAAATATTTACGCCGAAGCAATGGGATATTCTTAATAAACAAGGATAATCTAGCTGAAGTGACCAGTATCCAGTGTTATAGGCATGAGAGGTATTTTGTGTTAATGATTGTGGAATATAATGATTATGCATTTGTCATTTGATTTTGTTTTGTCTTTTACATTATGTTTTTTGTTGTATGTGTGTGTTACACTTGCTTTCCAGTGCCCATTAGCATTATCTCGTTATTCACCGGATATCAGTATTTTGCGTGTTTTCAAAAATATATATCAGCGTAATATATCAATATTCTTGCTGTGAGAGAATTTGCTACTAACATTTTCTTTAATGCTATCAGATTTTGATGTACTTGAATGCTCTATTTCCTTAATTAATTGTGGTTAGTGTCCACATGTGCTTGAATAATAATGTAATATAGTAGTTTTGATATCCCAGTGCGATGGTACCAAATTATGTAATGTACTTGGTGTTCCTCTCCCTCTTTTCTCTAGTATGGTACTGCCGATTGTTTCTTGAAGTGAAGTGTCGTGGAGTTGATAGTTAAAGTTGATACAGCTTCAATACTTTATTCTGCGGTAGCGTGGTAGGTGGATACAGAGGTCAGGCGTGGCAGAGTCGCCCAAGGAGGAGCGAGGCCTCGTGCCACGCCCGCAGGCGAGCGGTCTCGAGAGAGAGCTGGAACTTGAGGTGTTGCCTGAGCCGATGCTGAGGGCAGAGTGATTTCGGCTCTCCGAGATTTCGAATGGTTCACAAATATTAACTAAACATAAGAATATGGCAACATTGTTCTTTCGTGGGAAATGTCAATACTGGCCCTCTGGTTTACAACAGGGTAAGGGTCTTGTGGTCACATGTTAGGTCGGTTACACTGGGTAAGACAATACAATTATATAGTCAACATCAGATAACTACAATATCAGCAATAATAATGATTACAAACATAGTGATTGAGAATAAGGATTTTTTAACAAACATTTTGAGTATAATCAAGATATAAATTAACATGTAGTTATAAAATATTCGACGGTAAGGGTCGGGATCGCTTGCTCTGTGTGCACTTCACTTTTGTCGTTATTTTCTGGGCGCAGGTCAAACTTGGCACAGTCGATTACCACTAGGGTCTTGGGTACCGTGGGAAGTCGAGGGGAAAGTAGAGGGGACAGGTCATTAAAAATAAATTAATAGCCTATATATGCAAGGAACAGTGTAATTACAAAGCGTATCTGGAAGGAGGTAGGCCTATGTATACCACTTGTTTATATATACAGATGGTATTAGACATTGAAGTGGTGAATAGATAAGAGATAATTGATACATTTGTTATAAAAAAAAACAATAATAAATTGATTAATGACATTGGACTGTCCTTTGCCCAAAATTTATAGGCAAATAACTTCATTTAAAGTTATCCTTCATTGAAATGTTTCAATGAATGAGCACAGAATTTGCGGATTTACTTCCATTGAAAACATATCGCCTGATAAGTTAAATTGAGTTCTTAACAAGTTGTTTCAGGAGAGGAAAACAAAACATCATGACCTTTCTAACGCGTAAACATTATATATATATATATATATATATATATATATATATATATATATATATATATATATATATATATATATATATATATATATATATATGTATTGCTCGCTCGCGTATTTACGTTTCATACCGACATAAAATAAGCGCTACCAATTACATTGTAAAATGATTGTTCATGTAGATATTGACCTAAAACATTTCACAGTTTGTAGTTTGTATTGTTATATGGGGAATAGATTTATAACGTTACTTCTGATATTAGGGTTTGTATTGGTTAGTTATTCACACGCACACGGGCGCACATAATCGAGAATAACTACATTATAAGCTAAATGCAGCAAAGAATATGAACAATTCACCTGTAATATTTGCAATTGCTAATTATCAACACTACGTCGTCATCAGAACAATACATCACTTACACATATTGTATCAGGACCACATACAATTTCACCCATACCCCCCTCTACATGCGTCACCACATGAATTCCCTCATAAGTAGTAAGTTTATATAAGTAACAGTTAAGTTTATATAAGTTAAGTTTATACAAGCAACAGGACCTAACCCCCCCTTCCTTCGCGCAGACGTGGGCCCCATGACAGTCACGACGAACCCCGAGGAATTCCTGCTGTCGCTGCAGGACCTCACGCCCACCATCAGCGGAGGCGGCGACTGTCCTGAGATGGCGGTGAGGGCGATCAAGATGGCCCTGGAGACGAGTGTGCCTTCGTCCTACATCTACGTGTTCACCGACGCCAGGGCCAAGGACTACCATCTGCTCGACGACGTCCTCAAGCTCATCCAGAAGAAACAGTCGCAGGTGTGTGTGGCTGTGGAGGGAGGGGAGGGAAGGGAGGGAAGGGAGGGGGTTGGAAGGGAAGAGGTTGGGGGTAGGAGGGAGGGTGGAGGGAAGGGAGGGAGGGGTGGGGGTTGGAGGGGAAGTGAGTGAGGGAGGGTGGGGGTTGGAGGGAGAGAAGGGAGGGAGGGAGGGGTGGGGGTTGGAGGGGAAGGGAAGGAGGGGTGGGGAGGGGTGGGGAGTTGGAGGGAGGGGGAGGGAGGGTGGGGGTTGGAGGGGAGGGGAAGGAGGGAGGGGAAGGGAGGGGAGGGGGATGGAGGAAAAGGGGGGAGGGGAAGGGAGGGAGGGGTGGGGGTTGGAGGGGGAGGGAGGGAGGGGAAGAGGGTGGGGTTGGAGGGGAAGAGGGTGAGGGGGAGGGAGGGGGAGGGAGGGTGGAGGTTGGAGGGGACGGAAGAAAGGGATAGAAGGGAAGGAAGGGAAGGGAGGGAGGGGTGGAGGGGGTAGGGGACAGGGGGTTTCTGTTTCTGTCTGTGTTGGTGGGTGGGTGTATGTTTGTTTCTGTTTTTGTCTATCTTTGTTTGTGCCTGTCTTTCTGTCTCTCTGTCTTCCTCCTTCCTTTCTCTCATTCTCTCTCTCTCTCCTTCTTTCTTTCTCTCTCTCTCTCTCTCTCTCTCTCTCTCTCTCTCTCTCTCTCTCTCTCTCTTTCTCTCCGCCCTTATCTCCTCCCGCCTTCTCTCTCACCTCGTCCTTTTAATCCAACGTCTCCTTTTCTTCTCACGCCATAAATCCTTATTTATATATTGATAAACGCATTAAAGGATTTAAAAGACGTAAAAAAGACTGAGCAAAAATACAGACTCAGTAACGTGATTATAAAGATGAAATGAAAGAAAGCCACAGTAAACAACAAATGATAAATCTGGTAGGATTAGATTCCTCATCGGGTGATTAAATCTGATGAGGCATTTAGTCTTGCTCGAGATGTCATTGCTTATTGTGTAAAACGTGTGCTATGATTCTGTATTTGGTTAGCGATAATGTCGTTTATATCTGGAAAGCAATATAGACCACACACACACATACGCACACACACATACACACGCACAAGCACACACACACACGCAGGCACGCACACACACACACACACACATGCACACGCGCACACGCACACACATACACGCACACACACGAATACACAAACACATATACACACACACGCACACACACACACACACACACACGATTACACAAACACACACACACACGCACACACACGTGCACACACACACACACAGACACACACACACACACACGAGAATGCACAAACACACACACACATACACACACACACACACACACACACACGCGCGCGCGCGCGCACACACACACACGAATATACAAAACACACTACCACGAACACATTACTCAATAACGCTAAAACCAACCTATATCATTTCCAACACAACAATCGATTATGGTAACCACACCCCCATTCCCTCAGGTAGTGTTTGTGATGACAGGTGATTGTGGGAATCACACTCACGCTGGTTATAAGGCATTCCAGTCTATCGCCTCCACGTCGTCTGGACAAATCTTCCACCTGGATAAAAGTAACGTGAACAAAGTGAGTATTGGTGAGAAAGACTGAACAAAAAGGAAGTCGTCTATGTTTATGGTCTGTCCGTTTCCTTTAATATCGCATGTGTTTATAAATGACATTTTTTCTTTGTTGTCACGTGTGTTTTGCATATGACAGTGGGTTTTATTCACTACATCAAGAGCCTTATTAATGACACGGGGATCTTGTTTACTCTCTCATGTGTTTTATAAATGGCAGTGGGTCTTGCTGACTATCTCGCATACCACGTGTCATGCAAATGATAATACTTGTGGTGGAAGAGAATTATGGTTAACTTTCCTTCCAATCAATACCTGTAATTATTTCTAGCAACTTGTTTAATCTAACTGAGTAGGGATAAGATTCATTAAATGTCTAATTGGTTCATTAAATGCCTAATTGATTTCATATACCTGATATGAAAAATATATAAAAATAGAATTTAGTCTTTCTAGTAATGTGATCGCACTAATTATTATATTTGTTACATAAAGAAATAGCCATAGTAATGATACAAGTAATCATAATGATGACAAAAGAATAATGCTAATAATAATAAAGATAATAATAATAATAATAATAATGATAATAATGATAATAAGAATAATGTTAACAATGATAATGATACTACTATTACTACTACTAATAACATTATTACTGTTACTTCTAC